AAAAGGAAAAGGAAAAGGAAAAGGAAAAGGAAAAGGAAAAGGAAAAGGAAAAGGAAAAGGAAAAGGAAAAGGAAAAGGAAAAGGAAAAGGAAAAGGAAATCATTACAGATACAAATGGAACCTTACCAGTGACTTCAAGGTCAAAAGAGCAGCTATCAAACTTGTCCTTGTAAGACACTTCACAGCGATAGTTCCCTGCATAGTTTTCCTTAGCTTTGATGATCTGCATCTCAAATGTATGAATCTAAAAATCAAGCACAGTCATTCATTAATGTGGGGAATGCATTTGCACAAAGCAGAAGTTAAAACATGAGTCTTTCAGACATGCACCACACACAGGGAACAACTCAAATAATGGGCTCTGAAAAGAAACTGGAACCCAGAAATGGCATCAGAAAACTTTGATTTCCCCACCATTACTTGTCCTGAGTTGGGAGAGCAGAAAATCTGCTTCTGCAGAGGGTCAGAGATCACCACTGAAGCCAGGGTTAGACTCCACTGCTCTTGAACTTCTGCCTGTTGCCTTAAACTCATCTTTAAGCTCTCTTTGGAGCTTTGCCCCCATAAGAAGGAAAAGTGAAGACACACCTTGGTGTGACGCTCAAAGGACTCCTTCAGCTGCAGGTGCTTCCCTGCTTTGCTGGCCAGATCCATCCATTTTCCTTTAAACCACTTAACGTTTGGCTTTCGGAGAAGATCTTTGGCTTCTACTTTGGCTATAAATGTAATATTCCCACCTTTCAGAAAGAGAAAAGAATAACGCATCTGTTGAGGAACACGTGGTTGGTCAGTTGCGTCTCTACAAGTTCCTTTCACTTTTGTTCCATTCAGCCACCATGTGTTCTACCACAAAATTAAGAGTCAGATGGAGTCACACAGACTATGAAAGTACTGCAGCAGAACAGAGGTTAATGATTTTGGGTCTGGAAGCTTTCTGCTGCTACTCTGCCGTGGAAATCTACAAAATTAGAGGGTTTTGGGAAAGCTGCAAAAGGCAGGCCTCAGAGGCAGTAGAACTGTGATTAGAGCTAAGCAGCAGCCATGAGATAGGTCAGCAGAAAGAGTATTTAAAAAGTAGAAAATCAAAGACAAATAGAACAATGGTCTGTGTATTAATGCTTGTCTAGAATCACTCTCTAAGCTGCAGAAAAGTTTCTCTAGCAAGATATTAGGAAGTTTGAAGCTTAATAATGAAGCTCTGTGCATTGTGTTTGAAGGCTTACAAGCAGGTATTGTATTTGAAATAAACAAGCATTGTTTTAACCAAAGGTACGTGTGCTTATAGTGGTTGGATAGAACTACTGCCAATGTGCTTTTGCTTTGTGTGATTGGTCAAAAAACTTTTAAAGTAAGTTGTAACATCAAGTTCTTGGTCTGCTGCCTGGGATGCGAGCTGATGGCATCTTCCCATTGTATAGCCATGTAATGAGGGTGATGCTGGAAAATAAAACAGCTCAAGGCACGTTCCCAGCAGTCCCATCCCATTTGTGATTTGTACATAGACCCCGGCCGGTGATACTCTGCATAAGATCTTCTTGATAACAGTGCAGCCAACAGTATCAAAATACCGGCTTTCTTCCCCAGAAACTGTACCTCTTACTAAATTTACCTCAGTAAATTATTAGATTTTGAGCTTGTTTTGAATTAAACAATTGGGGTTTTGCTTCTCTGAATACAGTCTTTTTGCCTTCAGAGTGGAGTTCCCATCCAGCTAAAACCAGAGGCGGTTCTTGCAGCTGAGGGCAGAAGCTGAGTGCCACAGAACCTGCCCACACCATTCCCAGCTCAGCCTCTGTCTCTGGGAGTGGCTTTTGGTTTTGTTCCCAGGCACTTACCAACACTCACTGTTCCACTCTGAGGTTTCTCGACGAATAGAGTGGATCTTTGGGCATCATCATCACGCTTCTCCGACTCCTCTGGAGCTCCTTCTCCAAGAGACCATACTGAGGTGCAGACAGAAGGGGAAATATCAGTGATCTGAGGGTGTTTCACTCCCTCCAAAGTACACTTACCTGAACTTCCTAAACTCTCTAGCCCTAGCACCTTTCTCTTCTGATGTCCTGAAAGACTTGTGAGTTTTTGTTCACACTGACATCCATTGCTTGGCTGTCACATTGTGTACAGTTCCTGCAAGAGCACTACCTCTGTGGTGATGGAAAATGAAACTCAGGGAGGAAGAGAGGGAAACCTGATCAGCCAGGACGGGCACTGAGCAACTTGAAGGGCACCAGCATTCAACCATGAGTGCTTTACAGAGGTGATGCACAAAATCAGCTCTTTGTTTTTCAGAAGAGATGGAGGTTCTGAAAACACAAACAGCTAGAAGCACAAAAATCCCTACATCTGATGCACAGTTTCAGTGGATCTCTCTCCACCCAAACTAAGTCCATTGTACAAGCTGGTTCTTCCTCTATGTCTGCAAAGTAGGGCAGGAATGAAGCTCACTTCTGAACTTGCTTCTTTTCTTCCATGACAGAAGCAGAGAATGTGGGGATCTGTCAATACCATATGCTGCCATGTGAATTTTATGTGATATTTTATGGAAAAAGTAGTTTGTCAGATGGAAATGATTGTGAAATATGTTCAGACACAGCAGCTTCCCTTCTGGAAAATGGGACTTTGGAACTGAAAAGGAACAACAGTACTGAGAGAAGCAGCAAAAGTGTGCTCTCCTCAGGGCAGAGCACTGTACCAGGTGGGCTGTGTGATTCTGTTTTTCCTGTCCAGATAAACAGTGATTCTTTCTGTTTATCTGGACAGCCCTAGCTTTGTGTTATGCCATTACATCTTGTGTAAAACCATGGTCAAAACTGATTCCTTGCAGAAAGTACAAGGAGAGAAAGGCGGTGAATGCCTGTCTCTTTTCTGCTCACTTTCTGCTCAGAGGCAAAGCTCATGTCTCATATTCTGATCTGAAATCCAAATGTCACATCTCTGTTTTTTGAGGAGTTATTGCCAGCACAGAGAGGAAACTAATTCAAGTTAGAGATCAGAATAGTCTTTCTGATATGTAGTGATTACTGCTGTGGGAACCTTTTCAACTCATGAAAATTTTTACCACCCAGAAACGCGATGCAGCTCATGGCAGCCATGGGAAAATGCAAACAAATTGGTTTTATTATCCTAAAGCCTATTATGAATTTTAAAAAGGTATCAAAATGCTAGATAGCTTTGCTATAAACTGTTAGTGTTTCAGTCAATTGCGGGTGGTGTGCCTAGCACCTCTGTATATGCCTGCTTGTACAATATTTCCCACAGGTGAAGACATTCATGTATATACACACATGTATGTACACATATATACACACATACATGGAATGATTTACACAGACATAAATGAACACAAATATATATAGATACAGATCTATATATAGTCTCTATAATCTAAAATTTTAGATTATACCACTCGGAGATGGCAATATATGGAAACAACATGAGAACAAGTGAAGGTTACTGGTAGTAAGAGGATGAAGTGATGATAGCACAGGATCTGGTCACGTGCAGCAACAAACCTAACACACCACGGGGTGAAATGGAAAAAGAGTATTAATAAATGGAAAAATGATATTAATAAATGGAAAAAAGCTTACACAGAGTCATTAATTTGGTACCACATAAAGGAACATCTAAATATTATCATCACCTCTAGATATTAATTAAACAAAGAGAAGGAGGGGAGGGTTTGACGCGGGCTGGCATAGGCGGCTATGCCAGGTCCATAACCATGGTTGAAGTACCAGCTGCTCATTTTGTTCCAGAGGCTGCAAATCCTGAAACCACCAGAGTGGGTGCAGTGTGGGTTACCTGCCAGGGTAGGAAGAAAGAGGTTATGATGATTTTTGCTAAGTTTTCCCCACCGTCCTCTGAGGTGTGAGAAGAAGCCATTCTCCTACAGTCTTCTGGGAGCTGTGTGTGGGATTCCCAGTCTTCTGGGACCTGTGTGAGGCTGGATGTAGGAATGGAATTCCTGTAGGCTGAGGAGGAATGGAACAGCTATGTATCTATCTATACAGACACAGATATAGATAGATAGGTATGTATGTATGTGCCAAATACATGTCCTGTTCTGTGCAGCACAGCCTTCTCACTCCTGGTTCAGCTGCTGGAATCTTATTTGCCCTGGTACTTTGAGTTATTTCAACAGCTACAGTTTGCTGGTGTCTAAACAACAAAAATAAAGTATTATCTTTTAAAAATAAAGTCTAGAAAGTATTTTTATTATGTAATTTTGGGAGTGTTTCTCAGGAGGTCTCACCTGAATCCTTTCTTTCCGCTGGCTTAGACATCCCATCTGAAAGGGAAGAGCAACTTAGATAACACCAGCTCAGAGATCACAGCTTAACTGGCCTCAGATCACTGGGATTTTAAGAACATTGATTCTTCATACAAGAAGATTGGACTAAATATTTGGGACCACATCCATGAGGAACTACGTGAATACCAAAAAAATGTGAACAGCTAAGAAAAAACCCCAGAAATCTTCCCCAATTTTCTCTAGAAAAATCTAAATTAGTTTAATTCCATTGAATAGTTTCTTCAGAAAGGTTACATGAGGCTGATGCTTTTTCTATGATTTGTGTAGTTCCAGGTAAAAGAGGAATTTTCATTCCTCAATATTTGTCTGAGGGACAGTATTTTGATTATTTAAACAGTATACTTATTTATCTGGAGTTGCTTTTGGATCTACTAACCAATATTTTACCTTCTGCTGGGAGATTTACTAAAGACCTCAAGACAGGACTGGAAAGGGACTTAACTGATAGAAGGGTCTTGTACTTCTGAGCAGAGATTAATAAAATATAGGGCACTTTAAAAAATTTTCTAAGCTGTATCTTTTGAGTTCAGTCTGCCTGTTTGGACTCTTTCTTCATTAATATTCAAAAGAAAAATACATACATACATACACACACAAAGCATTATCACAGTCCTAACCTGCTGGTGGAGTACTAACTGAGGTGTCATCTTCATCTGTGAAAAGAAATACAAATGAAAAAGCACATGAAGAAACTGAAAGCACAGGCGATCATCTGCTTTAAAACAACTACATGAAAATGTAAAACCTGCAAAAGAAAGGGAAATAAATTGCAATATTCAGGAGCATTCACAATGGAAGATTCAAACTGATGAGAGAAGCTTTGCATAATTCAGTAGCTGAAATGGTAAACCTTGATGTTTCAAGCAAGTAAAGAACAAGATGAGATGTGGGCTGTGATCTATGATTAAATCATGAGTTTATATGAGAGCTGCGGAGTGATTCTGTTTGTTAGAGATGTAATCCACAGTAATTACAATAAGAAAGCCACAATGAAATGAAGGAGAATCACATATCTAACCTGAGGAAGATGTCATTTCTCTGATGACCACGTCTGCAATTAAAATGTGCACCACATATGCATTCAGCATTATTAAATCAAGATATGAAAAGTTAAAACTAGTCCCCTCTATTTATACTTTGTAATTTCTACACTATAATATTAATTTAAAGTGCAAGGAATACACAACTCATTTTTTCCTCATATCAGCAGGAGAATAATTTTAAATAAGGAAAGAACTATTATCACCATGCTGGATTTTCCTTTTGATCACACTAAAAGTTGACTGTCATGAGGTATTAAATTGCTACAAGCAGTTGTTACTGAGATATTTTAAAATGTTTAGTCATATAGAATATGTTGAGGCTTATATTTATAAAATATATAATGGTTTATATATTTTTATATAATTTATAAAATATACATTATATAATTATATATTTATAAAATATATAATCTATTTATAAAATAGAAAATTTTTAGTCATACAGAATATGTTGAGGCTTATATTTATAAAAATCAAAAGCCTGAGAAAAACCTGAAATGGGCATTAAATGGAAATAATGTAATCATGATTATTGGAAAACCAGAATAAGGTAAAGACCATCTTTACAAGAGTCTCTTTGAATTTTAGATGTTGACTAGAAACCTCAGAGATTAGCTTTGACAAAAATAAGCAAAAAGGTCATAGTGTCTTAAAATCCTAATGGTAAAAAGTAAGAAAATAACCAAAGTATCCTTTGAAAGATAAAAATAAACCAGATATATTTAGGATTTAATATACAAGTTTTATGAAGATAACATGTTTTTATACAGGATGAGAGAATAATCTATAGAACACTTCAAAATGGAGAACAGTTAAACAAGATCAACTTTGGAAAAATATTAACCCACATCTTTAAGGACAGTCTTTTTGGGGGTTGGATTTTTTTATATCTTCTATTTGTGTATCCATAATGAAATTTTAAATCTGAAGTTATCCTTTGATTTTGACCTTAAAGTTATAATTTTTTGATATTTTTTCAAGAAAAAAATTCATAACCATGACAAAAGAACATATGAAATATAGTTGCGTTTTTATTAACACTGGCAATATTGAATTTTTGGATTTGTTTAACCACTAAAGCCTAATTAAAAGTCTGTTAATAGAATTTGTTTACTTCAACCATAACATTTTACTCATTCCTTTTTAATGATTCATCAAACTTCATTTTAAAGATCCCTTGGGAGGAGGATGAAAGTTGTAAAAGGTTTGTCTACACATGAAGGATTAATGTGTTATCTTGCAAATATCTTTTCTTATTCACAGAAAAAAAGAAACAAAAAAAACCACCAGGAGTAATGGAAGAGTTCTCATGAGCTCTATCATCCAATGCCATAAGCAGATGTTGAAAATGTTGATTTTCAGTAAAAGCACAGTAATGATTAAGTCATGTCAGACGTTTTAACATACTGCATAAGCAGCTAAATGGATGCAAGGCTATTTGCTTCTACTGCAAATATTTCTCCATATTTCATGAAAGCATTAAGTGTGCTTTCAGCTCTTTTGGTCAATGATGTCACCATTGTGATTGATGATGGCTCAAAGAGCCATTTGACTGAAAAAAAATAATTAGGACCAGCATAAAACATTTGATGTAATGCATCCTACATGATGATGTATGATAATCAAGTTATGAAAGGACCACTCACTTTTCTCTTTCATTTAATCATTTGAAAAAGTAAAAAACCCAAAAAGAAGTTATTCGTTCTGCAGGGGGATTGGTTGGGTTTCTCCAGGATAATCTCTCATTTTTCAAACAAAATGTTAACATCAAAGACAAACAAAGGAAACAAGCAAACAAACACGTCAGAAGAATAAGGATGAAAGCCCAATTGAATGTTTTAGAAATCTAAAGAGTATGAAAACACTACATGCTGGAGGGGTTGTTTTGATAAATGGGTAACTATCAATCCATCACTCCTTCCATCTCAGGCTGATAAATGGGTAATTATCAATCCATCACTCCTTCCATCTCAGGCTTCTAGGACTAAATGGACTGAGTTTGGTTCAGCAGCTACAGCCAATTCAGTTTCTGTGATGAATGATTGTTTATGCTAAAATAAAGTCTATCTGAAGATTAGAAAAACAGCAAAAATACCAGATCTGTCAGTAGAACTATGATCATTAGTTCACTACTCTTATCTTCTGCAAGTAAACTTTTAATGGGATGTATTTTTCAATCTGTTGCATGATAAGAGTTTGTTATAGGGAAATCAATTGATTCATTTGACAGCAGGCTGATAAAATGAATTACTCTATAGAAAACTTTATTCTTTGTCTGTGGCACACTCTCATTAACATATAGGGTAATAGTGTTTATTTTTCTTGTTTCTAAATGATGACATTAACTGTGGAGCAGACTGAGCTGGATCAGGAATAGATTCTTCAGGATGAAGGCACTTTCCATATCTCCAAAGAAGCTAACCTAAACACATTTAGTGTAACCTAAACATTAAAATTTCCAACTGCTGGCACAGCAAATGTAGAAATACATGTCCAAAATAAAGAAATTACTGATTTATATATGAGCTGCTGGTATCAAGAATTTTAGACCTACTTTCCCCTGGTTTGAAACATCCCACACAAAATGGAAGCTGCTATTCTGCCATCAGCCACACTGCTGGCAAACTCAACATTGCGAAGGAGTGTCAAAAACCTATTAATTGTATATAATTTTATTTTTCTATTCTACTATTCATGCTGAAATTACAGAGCACAGCAAGACTGAGAGTTTCAAATTTAGATTACTTCAATTACCAATCTCATTTTCAAAGGGAATCCAGCAGTCCCATCAAGGGGACTTGGCACTTTGGAGATGGTAAATGAAGCACATACCAACAGGGGGGAGGTTTTAGTAGGGAGATGAATGGATAAGTGAAACTTGGGAAAATACAAGGATGACACATGCAATGAATATTTTAGTAGATGGCTGGAAGAAAACTAGAGGAAACTATTAGTAAAATATACAGAAATTTTAGTAGCTCTCTGAATGGCTGGATGGGACCTAAAAAAAGGAATGAGCAAATTTATAATAAAATTTTACTGTTATTCCAGCAAGCGGGAACAAAATTATAACATATTCAATCTGTAAGATAATGCTAAAATTAAAAACAAAGACACAAGCATTTAAATTGAATGAATATAAGACTATGTAGTAAATTTGGAGGATTTGTGCTGATTCACTTTGTTTCTCCAAAAATAAAAAGATGATCACATATATCCTGAATTTTTACAACATCATTATAGATCTTTTAAAACTGATTTATTTTATGAAAGAAAATTTTATGTTTACTGCTCTGAGCTACTAATTTACAGGAAAATAACCATGAGATACAAAGAATTTACCACGCTGTTTTTCATTTCATAACTTTACAGTGAACACAAAGGAATATAAATATGTAATTTCACACAGACAATAAGTACCAAAAAGAAATAGAACAGTAAAACAGACACACAGATAGGTATATTCTATCTTCCTAATATCAGTGAATATTTTCTTGGGGATGAGGGGGAAATGATGGACTATGGGATTTACATGGGGTACCAAGATTTCTTTCCTAGATGTCAGGTTCCAGCACAGGCCCATTTCAGGTTCCTGCAGTGTCTACAGTCTATCTCAGAAATTATCAGCAAACAGGACACAACATCTGGCACACAAATATTGCATATTTAATTGCTGCGGAATTCAGATATGAAATGTTTCCCATTTTGTTTCCATTCAGGGAAGTACCTAAATCTGCTACTTCTGAAGATGCAGAAAGTCTTTTACATATAGCTAATATAAAAGCTCATATCTAGATGGTTCTGTCATAATTTCCTTGCTGAACTGTTCAGTTTCAAGTGTAAATGATTTTGGACATATTGGAAAAATGGAACCTTTTCCCTTTTTGTGAATTATGCTCACCATTATAAAGTTGTTTGTTTTTTTTTCCTGGCACACAAACCTGAAGGAATAAATCTATGAAAATACATTTTCCCGTATTTGGTGATACTCTGCAGAAAAACAAGAGCTGATAGGAACAACTGCTCTGTAACTAATTTTTAAAAGCATTACTACTGAGTGTCTGGCAATGACATCTTCTTTGCTTTGCAGAGGTGACAGTTCCACTGGAGCATGGCAGAAGGTCATCTGTCTATTAATATTCAGACTTTCATTGGAATTTTAATGGAGGCAACAATTCTCCATAGTAGGATCTCAAGGTATATTTTTTGGTAGCAAAATCCTCCTAGCAGGTTTCTCTTAGGAGGAACATTTTTCCTCCTAGAAAATAGTTGTCTCATTCACTAAATTCAAAATAGAAACATAATAATGTATAAGAAGATAATAGAAGTTTTGGATAAGTTACCTACCATGTTTTCATTTTTATTCAGTGAAATGTAGGCTTGTAAGCAGTGAGGAAATCACCATTCATGTTCAGTTTGGGAACAAACATTTTTCTCATATCCAAATTAAAGCAAGCAGAACTAACTGTTGGAATAGCTTGAGGCAAGACTTTCATCTTTTTTCCTATCATTAGACATGCAAATTATTTCTGAATTGCATTTCCATTACCAAGTTGACAGATTTGATTACTCACACAAAATTTTGTGTGTCAAAATAATTGCTCAATGCAATGATAACTGGCAAAATAGCATGCACTGAAGCCTGGTTCAGCATTCTTATTTTCAAAAGGGTACTTGAATCACACATTCTCAGTGTTTATATTTTGACTCTGCTGAGAAAAATAGCCATGCATGCCTTTGCCAAATAAATCTGCAAGTATCCAGTATACACCCAGTCTGTCTAAAAGAGAGGATTTTGTTTGGAAGACAGCAAAAGCCAGAATACATTTTCAAGCAAGCCATTTCTTGATTTGCCATGAAAAAGCATAACCATGCCAGATGAAAAGCAAGCACTGCATCAGTTGTAAGCATATCTTGGTCTGCTTTAGCCTTTGATCAGAATTAAGTTTAAAAAAAGATATTATTCTTCTCAAAATAACCTGACGGGGTGTTTAATTCCTATTTTGGCAGGGCTCCTATAAAAAGCAGAGAATTTGGCCCAGTTCCCTCAAAATGTGTCCTCCTAACCAGAAGAATTGACAGCAGAGCTAGAATATAATCTCAGCAGCACACAAATATGTGCTAAAACTGGAGCTGATTGTTGCACACACTGCTGGTGGAACATTTATCTGTTTGTTCACAGCAGGCATCTCAAACAGACTTTTCAGAACCTGTAAAGAGCTCATCTGCTGGGCTCCAATGAGGACAGAAAGATTAATGTGTGATTTTTAAATTTCCAGTTAAAAAATCTATGGGGCTTTCTGAAAGGTATAATATTAAGTTTCTGTGGTAGAACAGAAACAGCTTAGAATGACAGCAGGACATTATCCACTTTATTGAAAAGCAACCAATGTGCACAATATTTGAGTTTTAGCAAGCTTGGTCAGGGGCAACAGCCAGGCTCATTTAAACACAGCTTTCTGCTCATGCAAATCACTTGTAATTTGGTCCATTTATTAAATAATCAATATAAATACTGTTGCTAAAGCATCAGTCTGGTTTGCAGGGTTTTTGAAGACATTCATGAGTATCATCATTTCCTTGGGCTGGCTAAGTCATGCAGAAAAAGGATCTAGGAAGCCTCATATCACACTTCTGAAATTTAGCACCAAAATTCTGAATTAAAGCTCAAACAATCCAGCATCAGAACAGCATTTAGTTTTCTTTACTGCCCATTTTTAAAGTATGGTTTCAGACTTACCTTTGCCCTTTTCATTTCCACCCTCCTGTGGTGCTTTTTGTTCTGTGTAGGAAGTACAAGTATAGTTTTGAGAGGATCTTAAAGTAAAAAGAAAGACTTACACAGCATTTAAAAATGCAGGTTCTGCTAGTATTGGAAAAACAACATTAAAGAATGATTGATATATGTGTATATGTAATATACAGTTGCAATCCCATACAACATTTTACAACCTGTGCATATCAATGCAATTTCTGTGTTTTGAACAAGACATTTAAGATTGATGTTCTGGGACTCAGTGGAAAAAATAAACTAGGTTTTTAGGAGCAGCAGTTGTTAGTCTCTTGTTCTCGGGATAATTTGCAAAAGCTTTTGAAATTAGTTACATATCATTGTTAATTGGAAAGAAACTGGATCAGACATGAGTTACTGCCACTCAGTTGATCCTTAAGAAAAAGGACAGAGTGTATTGAGGATATTCTTTAATTCTTTATCATCATCTTCATCATTATCAACATAGTCTTGCTGAGACTACTTGTATTCAGTTTCTTGATCAGAACTGCCAGCCTGTCCTCTACTCCAAGCAGGTAAATGTGAATTATTTTTTACCTCGTCTGCATGAGAAAACTTGGACTGTGCTTTAAACAAAACAACAATTTCCACATTTTCTCTATTTCAGGATTTGATATGATTCCTATTGGTTTTGGTTTCCTACTTCATTCAGTCTGGAATCTTGTCAAATCATGTGCTGTCTTCAAGGTATAAACACTCAATATCCTGTTGCCTGTGAGCAATGGCTTTCTGTGGCAAACTTACATATCAGCTGCCTGACAGAACTTGGCTTTGGGTGATCCTAACATTGTCAGGATGGAATTAAGATAATTTTTGTTCCATGAAGATAACATCTGCAAAAGCCAGTTGATACTCTGATTATCCTGATTTCTTGTTCCCATTTGTGCAGCCACAGTAAATATGAAAATTAAAGCTGAAACTTAAAAGGAAACACCACATTCTGGTAATGTGACAGACTCATGGATGCTTCAGTCTAGATTCCCTAAATTCCCAAATCCAGCTGTCAGGGTCTCCATCTTGGCCAGATGTTCCTTTTTTAATGGGACTTTTGCTACAGTAACACTTTCTTTTCCCAGTAGGAACAGGAATCAGAAGATTTCAGTGATCCTAGCAGATGGTAGCATGTCTACATATTATTTGAAAACTTCATCAGTCAAAGTGCTCCACACTTGTGGCTTGACACTGAGATCTGGAAAGACCTCTCACAGTGACTTCCTAAAAATTTCCTGGCGCAGTTCAAGGTGCTTGGTTATGTCCAATAAACTATTTGTAAGTTATAAAATTTGGAATTTTGAAACCAATGTCCCTCTTTGTGTGTTAGCACTTGATAATCCAAGATGACAGCATCTTGAGCCAGAAGTGACTGGCATGTCCAGCCTAGAAATATCCCAGTTTGGTCAGTGCCTAACATAAAGGCCTAATGACACCCTACTTATTATTTAGGCAGGTAAGCAGAAAAGGAAGGAGGTTATTGAAGTGATTTTGTATTTAATCCTGTGCTTTTAAACAGAAAGGAAGATGGTAATTTTTTGAAAATGTTAATAGATATTTTTAATGTAACGCTTCAAAGATGCTATTCCTTTCTGTATATAAAAAGCTGTTTCCCATTTCAGTTCTACTTGAAAGTTAAGATTGATTAAAAACATGCATTCAAGTACAAAGTATATCAGGTAAGACCCTAAGGGTGAAATTAATTAGTTTAATATTAACTGTACAAATTTTATGGTTGAGTAAAATATCATTAATTAAAAACCAATTAACTTTCCTTACAAATATATGCAATATGAAAGAGTTCATCACATAAAAATAATATGTGGCTAATTTAACCATGAAATTCCTTGTGGCAAATGATACCTTTGTCATTTTTTAATCAAAGTGTGTATTGTTGAAACAAAGACGTCTTCAATCAGGCTTGTAAAATGCCAGTTATCAAGACAGTAAGTAAAGGCAGATTTAACACTTGTAGGGTGTTCGTTCTGTTTGGAATTGCTGTTTAGGTAGCTATATAGAGAATAATACTCACCAAATGAGCATCAAAGAGGACAGCATAATTTAACAAAATAATTTAGGCAGCCATGATTTACCTGTATTCTGAAGGACACGTGCAATATCAAGCAAACAACTAGTCACTCACAAGCAAAACTTGAGTCTGAAAAATCAGTATTCAGGCAAAGTGAAGTGAGGATGTCTTACTTGGACAGGCTTTTTTACTTTTCTTACTGTCCTCTTACTCTCAAAGAGACAATGAACACAAACCAGTCTCATGCAAGTGTTGTTAGTGCCACAGCTCAAATCAGCATTTTTTACACTAACCTGGAGGTGGCGGTGCACTTTCATTTTCAGTTTCTGAAAAATGAGGAAAGAAGACAGATATTGAGCTTAAAATACAAGCAAATATTCTTCATACATTTGGTATATGTTTGTTGACTTTGAGTTCTTTAATATTTAAATGCAGTTGTGAAATTGATGCTGCTTCCACGCACGCAATGTGTGACAACTTCAGAGTGACAAGATCAGAGATCTAAAGCTCTTGCTAGGCAAAGAGAATTCAGTGAAATTGTTTAGTGTGGAAATAGATAATATTAATGGAAACACAGAATAATTTAGGTTGGAAAAGATCTTTAACATTGAGTCCAACCACTAACCCAGCACTGTCAAGTCACCACTAAACCACATCAAAACCACATCTACACATTTTTTAAATTCCTGAAGGGATGCTGAGTGCAGTTCTCTGGGCAGCCTGTTCCAGTGCCCAACAACCCTTCCAGTGATGAAATTTTTCCTGATATCCCACCTCAACCTCCCCTGGCACAAATTGAGGCCATTTCCTCTTGTGCTATCATTTATTACTTGGGAGAAGAGACTGAGCCCTACCTGTCCACAGCTTCCTTTCAGGCAGTTTTAGAGAGTGATAAGGTCTCTCACTCATGTCCAAAATTAAGCAAAATTTCCACCAACTGAAATAATATCAGATATGATTTTAACTTTGAAGTGTAATGGATGCATTACTTTAGGGGGATTATGAAGAGTGGATCCAGAGACTTTCATCTCATTTTCAACCACACCATTAGATCTGGAGTTCAATGTTCAGTGCAAGCAGAAAGTAAAAACAAACAACACCAAAACACCACAGTTCAGCTGCTCTGAGTGGAACCTGCAGTATGTTTGGGCTTTCTTATTGTCTTTCTTTCAATGATGATTTTTTAATGTAAATCACTTCCCTTTCCAATGTGTGATACACGAACCAGGCTTTTTATGTTATTTAAATTATATTATTTTGGGATTGCATGTTCTCCTATCTAAAAACATAAGAACAAATTGACTACCTAAAATATATTTTTAAAACAAAAAAAGGAAGCTTATTTTCAACATTTAAAAGCTTTAGGAGTTTACACATGTTGAAAACAGCAATATTTTTTGGCACTAGCATTGACTTACAGTTTAACTGTTTATAAAAGGTAAAGATTTAAAAAGTTAAAACCCTGAACTGTAAAAGTAGATGGCTGTTAGTAAGTTTTGCCATGTTGTGGACATTAACCCTCGGTACCCCACCTCAGGTCAGATTCAGGAAAAAAAATTCAATCTCCATCACATAGAAATGCTAGGAAGGCAATTCCTTTACACTCAGTTCCAAATATAACTAAAACACAATTCTCATTCTTATATAGTGTTTAAAAGGGACGAATATTTTTAGTGCAAATATAATTTTAAGCTGAGTATGTGAATTTGATATGGTTTGGGAACATACACAGATACAACAGCAAATCCTTGTTGAGGTTCCAAAGAGATTCCCTTGCTACAAGGAAAGAGCTGGTGTTGTATGCTCTGATCACAGCACCCACCATATAGAATGTAAGGAAGTATATTAAGGACCAACACACTGAGTGTGAAAATAATGAAATATCTTTACATAGATTCACTGCAATTCATTTTTTCATGTCTAATTACTGACATACTAAGTTTATTTTTTTGCGGCCAAGAAAAATATGAAAAATTTTCATATGAAAACATGAAAGTTGTACCATCAAGAGAATGTCTGGGAACCTATTTGCTTTGCTACCATGACATTTCTCACTGATTCTGCTGAGAGTAAAAATTTCTGCTGAGAAATCATTGTGGCATGGAAGTATGTTTCTTGCATGCAAAAGTAATAGCAGAAAATTATTGAGTGTATAATTTTCCTTGTGAAATTTAATAGTAGAAACATGGACTATTCCTATGAACACTGGATTAGAAAACGAGTTACACCAACGAGAATGGAACTGTAAGCCAGGCATGACCATGAAAGGGGTTGCACATGGCCAAAAGATTTTGTTGAAGTATCTCCCATGTCTCTGGCTCACCGACGAGAGTTACAAACTTATAATTAAAAATTCAACCAATATAGCACTTTCCACTCTCAGATGAAAGGCTTATGAGACTTTTGAGGGACCTGCCTTGAATTTTTCTTTCATTTTGAGGGGTATTCCGTGGCTTCACCAGCACTGCAATGCTGCTCAGCAATCACACAAGTCCTGCATCACCAGGAAGAGATGTTAGCCAAAGTCTACAGCACAGACCAGACCCGGAACATTATTATTATTATTATTATTATTATTATTATTATTATTATTATTATTATTATTATTATTATTATTATTATTATTATTATTATTATTATGTACATCTCATCTTATTAATGCAGACAACAAAAGGAGGCATTCAAAACCTGAGCACTCTCACAAGCAACCTACTCTGTTGGACCCCGTTCCTGGCAGAGAGCTTGGACTCCACTTTCTCCAAAGGTCCGTTTCCAATCTCAGCTATTCTGCAATTCTGTGATGGGACATTGACTGAAGCCTGACCAAGAAGTCAGAAGTTTTTTTCCTAAACCATAATTTAAGGCTGTTCAGGTTACTGCTAAGAAAACTGGGGCAAGAATGGAGCTCAAAGGAGAGACCTGAAGTATAATGTGGGAATCAAAAAGAAAAGGGGAAAGTTCCAGGCACTGTGGGTGGCAGAGACATGGGAGATACTTCAACATAATCTTTTGGCCATGTGCAACCCCTTTCATGGTCATGCCTGGCTTACAGCTCCATTCCTGAGGACAGCCAGGAAAAAAACCATTAATAGCTCTGAGTAGTTTCCACCTCCCCAAAGAATGACAGCCCTCTCTGGCTGACCTCTGCAGCAGCCTTGTCAGCCAGGACAGGGCTCTGCACCCTCAACCAGCAGCTCATGGCTGTGCTCCTTCCCTAGGAGGCATGCTCCCTGGAGTCCCCACATGCCATTCCCTCGGCCTGCTGCCTAATATGGTGCTCTGCCCAGGCATTGTCAGGGCGCTGCTGGTGGAGAAAACCTCCAGCATGCAATCCTCAATCCCTCTGGAGAGGTGCACATCACTGGCTTGCAATGATGCCTCTTGAGCTAAAGGGGAAAGAGGCTGCTGAGGGTCCAGTTACCACTGGATTGACACCATAATGTAAAGTGTGCCCTCTACAGAATAAATAAAGTTAACTTCTGCTTCAGAGTTTCTGAAACAGAAGGTCTCTTCTTTGCAGTTCTTTATTGGAGAACTGAGAATGTTATATTTGAGGGGGTTGTGTTGTGCTAAACACAGAGCTTGGGTCAGTCATTGGCTGTGAAACTGGCAATGCACCTGATGTAATTCTGTGTAATTCTAATGCCAAATGTAATTCTACAGCAAGGACAGGAAGGAACTGAGCAGTCCTCTCGCTACGTGGCTACTCAGAAAAGATAGTGTATTAAGTGTAGTTAGCAAGTAAAATAAAATGAAAGCACAACTGTCACTTAGATAACATCTTCAGAAATGCTTTCATGCCTCAGCCATGTCATGAGATGCATTCAGGATCCAGTTTGACACAGGATATGAGCACTTAGTAGAGCCAAGACATTTTTATGTGTAATTTATAATTATATACGCACGCATGCATGCTTGAAAATCAGCAGGAGATGCAACTTGACCCATTACCAACAATTTCCCATCTCTTTTCCACATTTATCATGTTCAGTTTTTCAGATAAAATGACTTAAAATCTCTGTGTGTATATAAATAAGCTTAAAGTTTATTAATTGATATTAATAGATGTGCTAAAATTATGAAAATACTTAAGAACCATGTTAAATTGAGGCTGCCATTATTTAAAATTTCAATTCCATTTTAGGTCTAGTTGCACTGGCATCTGACCTGCCACAGCCAGAAGCAGCTTTGGCAGGGATCTGACACAGGGATGTCAGTTTGTGTGTGGTGGCCAGTTCTCAAGGGCTCTGGATTCCCACTTTCACTGGCTTTTCTGGCAGCACAAAACATAGAAACTCCCTGACATGACATATATTACCTTTCACACTGGAATGCAATCATAATGAGGCATGATGATGGTTCTAAAACAGCCTCCAGGTCCTGCTCTACGGCTGTGCTGCAAGCAGAGTATCCTGGGGACCTGCAGCTCAGAGTGTTCAAGAACTACAACCTGTCAGCAAGCATACTGGGAATGAGGTCTGGCTGGATAACCTGGCCATCATTCAGCTCTGTGCTCATGGCCAGCTTTGTTTTGGGTAGGCTTAAGAACTTTCAGTCATTTTGGAAAATGAGTAGTGGGTGGTTTGCCTTTTTTACCTTAGGTAAGTAAAGGAAATGACCTTGAGCATTGAATCAGGGCTTGCACAAAGCCTAAAGATAGCATTTCACTGTCATTGGGCTGGAACATGCACAGGAAGAAGGAGGAAAGTCTCCTGCACTAATTTCTCCCTGCAGTTCCATACAGATCAGTTACAAGCCAGCAAAGAATATCCAAGGGATTCAGGATCTCTCCCAGTCTGAGCAGAGGACTCATCCCCCATTTCCCTGGAAAGGAAAGCAGGACTGTGGCTGCACCATCATGGACACAGGTATGATATCTGTCTTTGCAACAACAACATCTTAAAGAGACTCTCATATGTCAAACAACATGAGGATGGTCACTTAATGCTTTTTGTCACAAAGACCTGTCACCATCAGCCTGTGTCACATTTTAGTAGGTGGATTAATCTTGAGGGATCAGACCAATATAACTGTTACGTGGGCATTCCTAAAGTGCTGACTCTGCTGGTCAGACAAAAATAGACAAAATGCTGTTTTGGGGAGAGAGCAGCGCTCGCCCCAGCCCCTGTGCAGTTGTTGTGTGTGAGGATTGTGCCCTGCGCCCAGCCCCAGCAGGACACCAGAACCATCCTTGTGGCACCAGGCTTCCTCCTGAAGTAGGTGATCCACTGGAAGAGGTGGGCAGGGAAGGATTAAGGATATGGAACAGTTGCTTGGCACACCTCATGTCCAGATCAGCAGCAGAAAAAAGCAGCAAAGCTTATTC